TATAGATACTACCCCAGTTCCTAAACTGTAATGTGAGTGCAGCCTTAAAGTGAGCCGGGCCTAATAAGGCCTAACCAAACCGAGCGAGGTCGAGCGAGGTCAAGCGAGGTCAAGCGAGGCCTGCAGTGTAAATGCGCCATTATAGTATTCTCACTGCATTTGGCTAAAAGTTCATTTTTGTATGTATTGTCTTTACTCTCAGTGATGGTCCCATCTGCCGTATTTGCCACGAAGGAGCGTGCGGTGAGACTCTGCTGTCTCCGTGCCACTGCACAGGCACTCTGGGCACGGTGCACAAGAGCTGCCTGGAGAAGTGGCTCTCATCGTCCAACACCAGCTACTGCGAGCTCTGCCACACGGAGTTCAACATCGAGCGCCGGCCCAGGCCTCTCTCAGAGGTAACAAAGGTCAATGCTCTTTGCCTCGTCTGCATCAATCTTTCTTCTTTTCTTTCTTCTACGTGCTGAAGGAGACGTTGCTGTTTCTCTCATCTTTTGGCTTGCTTGCTTGTTATAAAAGTGTTATTATAGTTTTATTCTTTCATTCATGATTGACTTCCGCCCGTCTATCCATCTCTCCCTCACCTCCCCTCTCTTTCTCTCTTATCTATTGTTTCCCTCTTCTCTATTTTTCTTTCCACTTCCTATTCCACAGTGGCTGCGAGACCCCGGCCCCCGTAATGAGAAGAGGACACTGTTCTGTGACATGGTGTGCTTCCTGTTTATCACGCCCCTAGCAGCCATTTCAGGCTGGCTGTGTCTGAGGGGCGCTCAGGACCATCTCCAGCTGGGGAGCTGGCTGCGGTCCGTCGGCCTCATAGCCCTCACCATCGCACTCTTTACCATATATGTGCTGTGGACCCTGGTAAGAAATGAATTCACATGCAGATCAGATCTTAAATGTAATATTAAGGACCTATTATTACAATGAATAATGCTAATATCAAGCTCAAACTGAAAATTGACCTTCTGTTGCCGTCTTTTCTGACTTCATAGGTGTCTTTCCGCTACCACTGTCAGCTGTACTCTGAGTGGAGAAGAACCAATCAGAAAGTATGTCTTCTCCTTCCTGAGGCCAAGGGATCAAACTCTTCCCAGCATTCCCTGCTCTCTACCAAACTGATGAAGAAGTCTGCCAATGACAGTATAGTATGAGACCAAGTGGAGACGGTTGATGATGAAGGTGTCTTTAATGTGCGGGGGCTGATTGTTGCCTGCCAGTTAGCCTTTAAAGAAGCACTTTGTGCTTTTCTTGTTGGTTTTTACAAATGCCCCATCAGTACTTATTTCACATCCCTTTTTTAAACGACATCTGTCCTCCTGTGGGTGCAGAAATGAACACATTTGAATGGAGTCTGGGTGTGGACCCGGCTTATGCAAAGGCTCTGAGAAACGGAGCAGCACATGGGGAAGTGCAGAGACTTTAACAGAGACATGGGAACATGATGATAACATGAATAACAGTGACAGCAGAAACAGAAATGACCAAACTAACTTGTTGAGTGGACTTTGAGATGTTTTAGTTATCCTTCTGCCTGGTTTTTAATAACCCGTCCTTCGTCTACAGATTACTGTGGAGTAAAGCAGCGCCTATGATTGTGGTGATGCAATGACTAAGTGAGATTAGATGTAAATCCTGGGCATGCCCTTACCTTTAAAGGCCTTGCATTCTCTGCACAACGTTGCCCATTGATGACCTCATTCAAACCACCTAATGTGTGATCCCATTGTACTCTTAGTTTATTCATTCATTCACAATCCAGAGGCCAGTATGCTGTGTGACATGAGCATTTTAGCACAAACCTATCAACTTCTATCAACCTTTTTTAATTTGATTTTTATCTTAAGTTTATTTTTTTACATCTGAACTAAGAATGCGTTACAGTACAACATTAGTAAAGCCAGAGATTGTGCAATAAAACACTGTGGACATCGAGGTCTTCACAGCACATGAAGAGGCCTCGCCCAACATGCACAGTTACGGCTCCTACACACGGCGGCGTGCGTTGTCGCTTGCCGGCGGGGGGGGCTGAAACTCGACCAACAACCAATCACATGAATCTCCCGCCCCAGACACACGCAAGCACGCGTTTGATTGGCTAGAGCTTGCACTGGCATATGATTCGATTGGCTGGCGCCTCCGTCGAGGCGTCAAAAGTAGAACATTGCTCTACTTTTGCAGCGAGCACCGCGAGAGAAGCTACGCTTTGCTCCCACAATGCAGTTCGGCGAATCGTGACGTCACCCCATTCAAAGTGAATGGGCAGAAGCGTTGAATCGGCAACGCACGCCGCCGTGTGTAGGGGCCGTTATGCATGCGAGCACTGTTCACATTTGGTTCGTTTTTTTTGTAGATTAGTGTATTGTTAATTTTTCTTTGTGTTTCAAAAACATTTATTGAACTACTCCTACTGGGGTAGGATCAACAGTGTCCTCATAGAGGTTCTTGTTCCATCAGCACTTAGCACGTAGATCAATTTAAAATCTCTGTCAAAATAGCTCTGAGAGGAACATTTCCAAATGTTCTTTGGGGAGTGACACAGAGCACTATAATTGTAACTGCCTGTTTAAGTACCTAATTATAGCTTTTCTGTTGTGTTTTAAATATTCCCAAACAATACACACTGCAGTATGCGTGTAGTTTCCATTATCAAAGCAAGAATCAGGAAAACATAAAGGCCCTGCACGCTCTTATCACGGAAGTCAAACATCACCATCAACGTGTTTTCAGTGCTTGTGTTTAGTGCTTCTGCTAGTCTGACATTAACTCTACCCCCACGATGACTTTGGTGATGGGTACATTATGCAAGCACCACTATAGATGAATCCCACTCTAGCTTGTTATCACTTTTCTTTAGAGGAACTCATCAGATGTGCTTTTTAAAATCCATTTGATGGATGTAAACATTTGTAGGGGTGCAAACTTGCCCTCATCTTGTTTTCATGTTACTGACCGGACGCATGTGGGTCTGCATTGGTTGTTTGGAGATTTGTGAACATGTCTTTTTCTCTTGTGTATATAGTTATGTGCAGTTTGTAATCAGGTCGCTTATAGGGACTTTCTATCAGCTATTGACAAAACAAACCACAGTGTCTGCCTGGTTTCCAGATGTCATGGTCCTAACATCATCCAGTTTTTCAAATATTTCGTCCCACATACTTCAGGTTATGGAAAGAGGGTTACGGTAGTTCACACTTTTGTTGCTTAACAGGGAGATAAGATTAATGATAAAACCTCGTCGTATGAAGGAATATGTAATTGTTAAAACCAACAAAACACACTGCTTTTAGAAATGCAACACTTTTGGGGGGGGCGGAGTTTGATGCATTAGAAGTCTACCGTTCAGTATTATTCTGCAGTATTTAATATTTTATATATTTGTAAGTCTGTGGAATTCAATAAAGAAATGACATCAGCATTTAGGAAAGCCTAAAAAGACTCTAAAGCTCGACTGCTTTATTAATATTCATGCTGCGACTGAACTCAAGATTACAATTATTGGCCTTTGATTTGTTTGTTATTCTCTATTCAACCGAATGACATTTGTATTATTATCAATTACTTTTGATCATCATATGTGTTTATGGTAGTTAACAAACGTGTCATGATTTGTTGGTCCTATGTGCTTCTCCTTAGAGATTGAGAGTAAATATGCATTTCGTAACACATTGTAGTGCAGTGGTGTGCAGAGGCCGAAATTCTTTTTTGTATGCACAATTGTGGTATTGAACATTTTAAAATACATATGTTTTTACTTTATAACAATCAGGCCTAACCAAACAATATTTGTACTTACTTCCAGCAGATTCTAGCTGTCAGTAAGCATCAATACAAACTACATATTTCTTCATGTGAGTTTTCATGCTGCAGAAACCACGTAAACTTGTACCAAATGACGAGTGGCTCTTAATAACAACACATTTCATGAGAACAGGAAGCATCCCAGCAGCGTGTTCAGTGGGACATGGACATCCCAGTGTCGTGTTGAACAACCATCGATGTATCTGTTTGTCACTAAAGTCCCTAGTGGGTGTAAAGGGTCCTCGCCCGGTCCGTGTGTGTACAACAACATGACACTGTGGTACTTCAGCTCCTGGTGGATTGGCCCAGTTAATATTTGTTTGTGTGTTGAACTGATCTCAGAACAAAGGATTACATCCTGCTGTGCTGCGATGCCCCCGGGGGGATCAACAAGCTTATGAGTCATCTGATCATCCCTGTGTTTACTGTTGTCATGAAGAGGAATTACTCTAAGTGTTAACATCTGATGTGAAGCCATTTAAAGATCTGAGGTGCAGTTATTCAACAAACAGCTGAATCTGCAGGTCAATGCATCTGAGCGCTATGATAGTTATGGGATGTTTTTGTGCAAGTTTGCCTACAAAGTATGCAACACTTCTCTGACACCCTGCAGATCCTCAAATCTCCAAAGATGTTTTGTATTTAACACTTAAACCATCATAACAATCCAAAAAGGGATTTTAAACAAGTGTTTTCTTTTGATGTTTATTACAAAAAGGAACATGTAAATGTTACTTCTGTTGTGTTATCGTGTCTAACATGTTTGTCTTTATACATGTATTTTCTGGAGGGTGGTTATGTTAATGTGTATCATTTGTAATTTAATGTTGCAATTCTTCAGTATAGTGTGCTGTGGAAAAAAATTAAGATGTCTTCACCAAAATACTGCCAATAATCAGCCAAGAATTGTTTGCAAAGCAAATAAAACATGATGATAAATGACGGGTGAACTGGTGATTTGTTTTTTTGGTGTAGGAAGCTTTTTAAATTATGATCATGGTCTGATTTCTGCGAATGGAAACCAGAGGTGGGAGTAAGTCCTACATGTGCAAGTCATGAGCAAGTCTCAAGTCTTGATCTACAAGTATCAAGCAAGTCCCAAGTCACTGTGGTGAGAGTCAAGCAAGTCAAGTCAAGTCATTGCTCAGGTCAAGCATGACTCTCACCACAGTGACTTGGGACTTGCTTGATACTTGTAGATCAAGACTTGAGACTTGCTCANAATAAAACACACATTTTTAAAATAAAAAATAATATAACTAAAATAAGAATATTAAAATATAATTTAATATAGTATAATAAAAATAAAAATAATGTATAATATTTAATATCATAATTTGAAAATAAATCAAATGTTATAATAGAATAAAAATATGATATAATAATTTTTCTGTGTGTAATTTGGACATTCAATTGTGTTTATGTGTTACTACACTGGGACACTTTTACCCACCTCTCTGTGACCCTCTCCCCAGGTCTTCATAAGAACCCCTTCCCTCACACCAGAGGAATAAAAGGATATGGCCACTCGATGATTTTCTTGGCGTACTTCCGCACCACGTTGTCCTCTCCGAAGATGAAGAGCGACCTGTTGACGGTGAAGCAGTTCTCGCGCACCGGGATTGGGTTGTACAGTGCCATGGTGCGCGCACGCTGCGCTTTGGTCTGTTTAAAAGCGGGAGAGATGCCCCCTGTGGAGAGACCCCCTCCATCCCGGATCCGGTGCAGCTCGGAGCCTCCATCCCCGGAGCTCAGCAAGCCCGGGACCTCGTCTCCAAACCGGGCCATTCTGGAGGAAAAGAGGAGGAAGGGAGGAGAAAAAAAAGGAGGTTATAGACTCCTGGAAAGCAGCAGGGCGCGGTGCTGAGATCAGTTTTAGTCCATCCTCCGCGTTATTACGCAGGAAAATACCGATTGAAATGTTCCGTAACTTCCATATAGGCCTAGGTTCAAAACAAACACGGACTGAGCTCCGTTCGTGTCCAATTAGAGACGATTTCAAAACAAAAGACACAAACAGCGACGAGATCAGTTTGAGTCCACCCTGAGGTTTATTACGCACGAGAACAGCGAATGAAATGTTCCTCAACTTCCAAATGTGTTCAAATCAATCGCTGTGTATTTTCCTTTTGTGTCACATTAGAGACGATTTCAAAATAAAAGAAACAAATCCATGAAAAAGTGATTAAATCCCGCATTATTTAACAATCCGAAGCGCGTGTTATCCATCCAAACACTGATCTGAGAGAGAGAAGCTGCAACAGGTCACGTCTTCAGCCATCCTCAGTGCAGGAGATCCATGGAGGATTAAAGTCTCCTCTTCTCTTATCGCTTCAGAAACACGGGAACCTGCAGCGTGCGTAAGAAGACCGGAACAAAAAAAACACACTTTGGCATTTTCCACGATATTCTGTCCCAGAAACGAACAAAACAAGCTGTCAATGCGAGTCACACCGAGGGTAAGAACATCCTCACCCCGAGTCTGCAGAGGGAAAGTGAGGAGAGAGCTCCCTCCCATCCTCTCCCATTCACTGTAGAGACTCCTAATGGGCACCAGGCTATGGGAGTAATGGATTACATTTAACCGGATTTCGTTATGAGGATACAAAAAACTGTATTCCCTTACATAAAAAGTACAGATTAGTGTGACATTTCAACAACAAAAAGGGCAATACTAGCAGGATTACAATACATTTTTAAATTGTAAATTAAACTCTAGGCTATAGCAGGCTATAGCACCGTTATTATCACTTATCCACGTTAGTATCCGACAGTTATCAGATGTTTTTAGTGAAAACAGTAGGCCTACTGTTTTCAATAAAAACATCTGATAACTGTCACACTTCGAAAAATTGCGGATCTCTATCAGGATTAAAGTAAAACAATATACTAACTAATATAGTGTCAGTTGTAAAAGAATCAGACATTATTTCACGTCACCACCGCTAAGCTAAAGGAGGCTAATGTTGGGCTACAAAGGAACTACAGCACGGTCACATGACTTCACGTCACCACCGCTAAGCTAAAGGAGGCTAATGTTGGGCTACAAAGGAACTACAGCACGGTCACATGACTTCACGTCACCACCGCTAAGCTAAAGGAGGCTAATGTTGGGCTACAAACGAACTACAGCACGGTCACATGACTTCACGTCACCACCGCTAAGCTAAAGGAGGCTAATGTTGGGCTATAAAGGAACTACAGCACGGTCACAGCTATAAAGGAACTACAGCACGGTCACATGACTTCACGTCACCACCGCTAAGCTAAAGGTGGCTAATGTTGGGCGTGATTCCGTGTAGTCGTCTCATTTAGACACTTGTTAGCAACCTCTGTATCTAAACTCACCAGTGGGGTATCTGACGTATTTCATGTTGTAGATCAAAACGTGTAAATCTCTTGTGTTAACCACAGACCTTATTTCAGGATAACAACCAAAAAAACATTGAGGAGAGAGTTAAATCTGATACTGATGGGTGTTTGGTGGCAGGGTGTGACGGAGGCAGTGATCAATGGTGTGTGACCTCCAACTCAT